CGTTTTATTCAGTAAAGAAAAGTTATATTTCGTAACATTGTAACCTCAAGTGGCTGCAGGGGTGAAATTAATCCATTATATTTAATATATACTACTTACTCTACAGTCCCTTGTCAATCCACTGCTGGATGAAGGCTTCCCACCACGACGTGTCAACCGTGTGGGCTGTGTGGCCATACTTCGCCACGCTGGTCAGTGCGGGTTGGTGAAGTGGAGCTCAGGACCGGTTCAGACATCGCTCACCTTTGTTCAGCCAATGGACGGGAGTTGAACTCAGGACCCCTTTTGTTTATTTATTTATTTAGCGCAGTGTGCTAACCACACGTAGGCACGCGATGCTATGCATGTATGATGCAAATCGTGCACCTAAGATTCGATTGAATCAATGACTCGATGCATTGTTACACCCCTTGTCTGCACAAACTAAACAAGGTATTTGTGGTTCAGAGGTCAGAGTGCTGAGCTGACACGGCTTAAAACCTCGATTCGAATCCGGCCAGCCACCGCCTGTGTTTAAGCTGGGTCCTCAAGGGGAGTTGATGGTTTCAGTCAGGTCAGAGGTTACTTGAAGATTGGATCTCAGTGGTAGCTCTGTATTATCGGCTTCCGTGGCCCGTTCTCGAACACGAACAGCTGCGCTGCTCGGCGAGAGGGTTGTGAATGGATTCATCATTCATCTCATGATGTGACACCAACGGCACAATTGGGATAAAATCGTGGATTTTATTTAATTGCATTCATTTATCAAGAAGAGTCATCCGAAGAAGAGGCTTGCGAATAGCTCTACCATGTGGCTGCAGAAGCTGTGTCCACCCTCTCGTTTCCACGGTTTCAGAACTCCGTAAAAGCTCAAACCTCGTGCGGTGGGCGACTCCTTTTCGGGAAGTCACAAGTTTTAATTTTTTTTGCGGGCGAATTTTGCGTCCGAGAATCCGAAACTGAATCCGAGGAACACGGCCCCGCGAGACCTCGAGACGGAATATTTGTGCGGTTTGTTTGTTTTTCGTTTTTTTTTGCATCGCGGGCAATTATTTTTAGCGTTGCGCAGTGACAGACGTGTTTTATTTCCTGCCAAGGCAACATTAACTTTATTTATTTACGTCCATTATATACAACGTAAGTATTTTTTCTCTCTCTCTCTCTCTCTTGCTGCGCTCTCCAGAGCCAATCACCTCCCTTGGGTTTCATTTATTTTCTCAATAACTGCCCAGTGACCGCCACCCCCCCCCCCCCCCCCCCCCCCCCCAGGGCGGTTGGGATAATTGCGAAGTAAACTGTGGAAAAATAATTATCAATAATAAATATTGGCTACAGAGCGGTTAGGTTTGCTCATATAATTAAGATTTATTAGGGGGACGCAAAAGGCTATTAAAAGTAAACAGTAGCCGTGAATTATGGAACCTCTGTTGTTCACCTTTAACGAGTTAGCGTTACCTCGATCGGTTCAAGGTTTGCGTTCGTTCTTATTGTGGCACTGTCACTTTGTGCTCTCTGTTGCTGTGGGGAGCGGTAGTGTAGTTGTTAGCGCGCTGCGCTACCAACCTGGTGACCCGAGTTCGATTCCCGCTCACAGTCAACACCAGCCACGATTATCTGCACCGGTCATGGGCCTCCCCTAGGTCAACTCGGCCTCACATGAGTACCTGGGGCGGTGTGTTAACATCACCAGTCGGGAGACGAAGGCGGTCGGGCGTGGTGCTGGCCACACAACCAACCACTCGTGTACCGTTCCTGCCTTCATAGGTGCTCGCTAACTGCACTTGCCCCTACAGTCTGTTAAAAAGGCTATACGGGGGATCTTTGTCTTTGCTTTGTAACTCCCTCCTATCAGGTACACATCATCCCTGCTCATATCAACAGGCGCACTCTCAGTGGGGCTCTCTCTCTCTGTGGTCTGGCCGCTCCTCTGCATTGACGCTCTGCTGGTCTTAGCTCGGTAAACTTGAAAAGTGGAGTCCAATGACAAGATGGGAAATGTAGTTTATGGCCCATGAAAAATATCACCCGAAGTGCGACTGAGTTCATCAGAGCTTGAAAGCGAAGCGGCCGTTGAGCTTGGTTAAGCACTCAGATTATCGTGTATGCGCTACATTCGAGAACCCAGTTTATTCAGAGGCGGCTGAATCCTTAAATCATAACCCATGAGGGATATCAACGGACCCAGGGTCAGAGATTGTTTATTCGGCCCGAATAATCGTTCCCCCAGGAACGAATCGCGAACAGACAAGCAAACTCTGAAGCAAGCCTGTCGCTCATGATTAGACTTGTGCTTGTCTTGAAGTAATGCCGTTGAAATGATACGCTTCTCAGAAGGCCGTGCTGCGGCTGCGTAAAGAGACCACTGTTTTTTTTTTAATCGGATTCGCGAGGAAGACGTTTCGGCTGCTTATTTAATCAAATAAAATGAACGTTTCCGCGCCAACTCTTTCACATCGATCCGGCCGTCAATTAGCGTACCCGCGGATGGGACGCGTTTGCGCGCCGCCCCGCGTGCGGACAATCGATCCGCAGACTCAATGGCCAGCGTTTCCTCGCGCCACTTGCTTTTCGGTAGATGCGGCGGTGCCGAATAACAGATGACAGGAAAGCATCGACGACCGATTAGCGTGGCGAACAGAGGGACGGCGTAGGTCTACGATGGTGCGTCTTCATGTTCTACCCAGGGGGCACGATTTCTCACTCGACTTTTGCTTTTTTTTACCCGGAACGCTACCAGGGCTGGCTTGGAGTAGGGATGATCGGCGTAAGGCACTACCGCTAGAGTACAATGTGCGCCTCTTCATGGTAATAATGATTCTATATTATTGTACCCTATTTTCCTATAATCTCATGAGCACGGGTGTGGCTGGGGTTCCAAATGCAGGGTGCTTAAAAAAAATGTTGACACTTCCGAGAATCACCTGGAGAAGATTCCAGGCACGCGGTGACAATGATGGCGAACAAGTGGAGACTCTTTGACTTTTTAAAGCTATCAACAAACATTCGTTTATCGTGTTACTATGGATCAACCGTTCTTTTTTTCCATTTAAAACGATAGTCCCATAAGAGTGTTAAAACATTTTTGAAGCACCCTGTAATTGTTGAAAGGGCGTTCCGGGAACTGTTCCGGCTGACATCAATCGCTGGTTGTATGCCACGTGCGGCACGTGACCAGGTTCCATCGCTGAGCCGCGGAAACCTGCGCAGTTGTCCACAAAGCAGCGTGGCTCAGTCGCAGGGGAGTGAGAGCGACAATGGGTTGAGGAACAAAATAACCACCCACCCACACATCCACCCACACATCCACCCACCCACACACCCACCCACACATCCACACACCCACCCACCCACCTACACACCCACCCACACACCCACCCACCCACCCACACACCCACACACCCACACATCCACCCACACATCCACCCACCTACACACCCACACACCCACCTACCCACCCACACACCCACCCACCCATCCACCGACAAACCCACCCACCCACACATTTTAATTGGAGACACGAGACGACGAAAAGCGCCGCAAGTCCATGAAAGCACTCCGCTCCACTGCGTCCAAAACCCCGCGTCGTCCAGCGTGCACCGCCGGCTACAACGCGGGGTAGCCGGCACAGCCGAGGAGTCAGAGGTGGGGCAGCGCGGATGGAATGTCGACCGCTGAACGCTGCTGCACCTGGGACCAAAAGCCGCCGTGGCGGGCGTGGGGACCTCGCCTCAGTTGGCTTCAACAACAACAAAAAATATTGAGCCTGGGTCAGCGCCCTTCGGTTTCCGTCTCTGCTGTGGACAGGGAGGCCGCCCGGGGTGTCCGTGCGCCCCGTTACACCCAAGGGCGGTGTCAACATTTTTAAATCGGGGGGGGGGGGGGGGGGCAGGGATGGGAGTAGGCTACTGACTCCGTGACAGGAAAAGGCTGGGGGGGGTTGGGTGCGGGGGGTGGGGGAGGAAGTGGGGGTCTGGGTCTGGGGCCAGGGTTAAGGCGACGCCGCAGACATTTCGTAGGGAAAACGAAATCAGCGCATCCTGCGTGGAGGAGCTGTCAGCCGATGGGATGCAATACGAACACCCACCTTCGTAGCTTCAGGGACTCGAGAGATGCTGCGTTCATTACATTTCACGTGACATATCTTTCACAGTAAAACACAAGCATGATCAATAAATACTTTGTCCTGCTAGAATCAAGCCAGCTGGCTTCTACCCCCTCTATCCGTGGTGATTATTCAGGGAGAGGCGGAGGGGGGTGTAGTCTATTGTTCTTCTGGGGGACGGGGCGGCGGCTATACCCTCACTCCCATTCCCTGCTTCTTCCCCGGCACCGCCTACGGCTGGCTACAAATACAAAGATCCCCCGTATAGCCTGTAACAGACTGTTGGGACAAGTGCTGTTAACGAGCACCTATGAAGGCCAGAACGGCACACGAGGGGGTGGGTGGCGAGCACCACGCCCGGCCGCCTTTGTCTCGCCAGTGGCGATGTTTACACACCGCACCAGGTGCTCATTTGAGGCTGAGTAGACCTAGGGGAGGCCCGATGACCCGTTTCAAATAATCGTCACTGGTGTTGGCCGCGAGCGGGAATCGAACTCGGGACGCCGGGTTCGTAGCGTAGCGTAGCGCTAACCGTTACACCACCGCCCCCCCCTGCGGCTGAGTACACCACGCACGCACACGCACCACACACGCAGCACACACGCAGCACACACGCAGCACACACGCACACATCTCTCCGCAGCACACCCTCTCCCGCCACGGTCTCCTCTCCGCGCCGCCTTGGCAGCTCCGAGTGTGACTAATGTCCGTCGCCCAAACTTGGCCGCAACAAAAAAAAAGCGGCGCGCTGCCAATGAGCCATTAAGAGCGGCTCATTTTTCTTGCAAAAATTTAATCTGTGCGGGGAGAGTATTCACTTTGGAGCGTGTCGACCTGATCGTTTTTTTGTTCACTTTTTTATTTATTTATTGAGTTTCCTTGAAATTGTGAAATAATACTGTGGACGGTGCGTAATGAATTCGTTTACATGTTTTTTTTATTTGGCTTTTTCGCTCGCGTATTTTAATAATTACCAAATGCCTGGCTGCTGTCCTACAACGGGCAGGGCATTATAATAGTTTCATATTCGATCTTGATTTCAAGGTTTCACGGCTACACTTTATTCTGTTTTTTTTTTTTAACTTGTGGACTTTCGTAACAGCTTGCGGCACAAAAAGAGAGCTCACTTCATCGTGGACGGGACTCCACCACAACCGCCCGACAACACGGGACTCCCAGAACCCTTCCGATTCAGACGACGGCAGAACGTGCCACGAGGTTGTTTGGGGGACGCGATCAATGAGAGCGCGACTGACTCTCGAGACGTAACAGAACCTGAGGTTAACGTAAAGATCGGTAGACCAGCACCTCCATTACTTTTGATCTGCATCGTCCGACTGTCAATTGCCGGACGGCTGGTGGTGGTGGTGGTGGGGTGAATGTCCACAATTCAGTTGTCTCTTTGTGTACCACAGCTGTACCGAAAATTGACGGTGAAAACGCTTCATATTCGCGAACGCTTTGTAAGCCGTACATATCATCACCACTAGTGCATCCATTATATGAATGCATCTTTTTAGAAGGCGGGGGGGGGGGGGTTAAACGATGCATTTCTGATCGTTGTTTTCTTGTGGACGACTACTGTTGCCCCGCCGGGGTCCAGCCCCAATCCTGCTAATTGTTCGGAGTGGTGATGGTGGCGGTGGTGGTGGTGATTGCGACAGTGGTGATGACTGCGTTGGTCGTGGTGACAAATGCTGACTCGTGGTAAAGATTTTGGTGACAATAATTTTGGAGATAGTGGTGGTGGTGGTGATGGTAGCAGTAATTACAGTGGCGGCGTTGATGATGATGGTGGTGGTGATAATGGAGATGGCTATAGCTGTGGCGGTGATGGTTTCAATCGTTGTTGTGGAGACAGTGCTGGTGGTGGTGGTAGTGGTGGCAGTAGTGGTGGTGGAACTGGTGATATGTTTATCTCAGGATTTGTTCCTATTTTCCACGTCCCCCCACCCCCTCCTCCGCAAAGCTACCTACATCTGCAAAAAGCTTTCACAGCTGCTGCTCCTTCCCTTGCTGGAGATTACAGCGCAGCCTACACTGTGCCAGAGGACAGATGTGGCCTTTCCAAAACACCGTGCCACTTCCCTCAATCGCATTATCTGTTCATCAGCAACAGAAAAAAGCCTTGAATCATCATCAACAAGCAGCATTACTCGCAGGCACATAACGATCTGATGATTAAAATCCATTCCTAAAACTCACACGACACTCGCATCGTCGTGTGCATGTTACAATCCATTATTTACGATGCGTACGAAACTGTACTCAAACGTTACATTTAGACAATCGGAGCAGCCGATAAACAATAGAAGCGTGACGGTACAAGACGGCAAAATAACAATTAATGTTGAGAATCGAATCGCGATCCCGAATCGTAACAATCCATAAAATCACAACAACATTCGGAATCAATTCTCACATCCACAATTCCTGCTCAGGGTGGAGAGGGAAGGGTTATGCAGTGGTTAGCGCACTGCGCTATCAACCAACTCGGCAACCTGAGTTAGATTCCTGGCCACGGCTAATGTCAGTGGCAAATCTAAACAGATTCTTCAGATTTATCTAACCAGATTCTTACCCACCACTCTCCCCACCACTCTCCCCACCAACCCCCCTACCCCTCCCACCAAACCAATCCACACTGCCCAAACAGCAGCAGATTGATAAACATCTGCCAGTAATCATTGTATTATTAATGCCTCCTTTTCTCAAAGGCCTCTCCATCTCATACTTAAGCAGATACATATGCATCCTTGGCGAGAATATTTCGTGCTCACAACAAGGACCTCTCCTGCTCACCCTTAAGGGTTACGTGGCCCTGAATGTTCCCTAGTTAATAGTGCTTAGCCTCAAGACCCAACATTGTTGACACGTTGCAGGCCCCGTGTTGATTGGCAAGAGCTATCACCCCAAAGCCAACGGGATCCATTCAACCCTCGTTATTCGACCGTAATGAGCAGATGGGATGGACCGTAGCAACGAGCCAATTTGTACGGAGCCAATCAATGGCTCGATTCCCACAGCCGCCCGTGGATTCCTAACGAGGAATTACCAAAGTGCTCCATTTTTGCCGTCAAGTGGATGCTCTTAAAGACTCCGTGACATGGTCATTCTAAGTGCGGGCTCATTGTGTGTCGGTTCTTACGGTTCCAAATCGCAAAAAAGTGCTAAATCACCTCCAACGACTTAAACGAGCCATCCGGATTATCCTGAGCAACGAGATAAGGCAACACGTGTCGATGGATTCTCATTTGCTTAAGTAATTCACGCTAATATTTATTGATCTTTATTGATTTTATGAATGTAATTATTACAGAAGTGGCTGGGTGGCTCAGGCGATAAATCACTGCACTGGCACTGCTGATAACTTCTGGGTTCAGCCGACTGCGAGGAAATCTAGTTCTTAAGTGAATCCTGGTTCTCAAGTGAAACCTGGTCCTCAGGTGAAACCTGGTTCTCAAGTGAAACCTGGTTCTCAAGTGAAACCTGGTCCTCAGGTGAAACCTGGTCCTCAGGTGAAACCTGGTTCTCAAGTGAAACCTGGTTCTAAAGTGAAACCTGGTTCTAAAGTGAAACCTGGTCCTCAGGTGAAACCTGGTTTTAAAGTGAAACCTGGTTCTCAGGTGAAACCTGGTTCTAAAGTGAAACCTGGTCCTCAGGTGAAACCTGGTTCTAAAGTGAAACCTGGTTCTAAAGTGAAACCTGATCCTCAGGTGAAACCTGGTTCTAAAGTGAAACCTGGTTCTCAAGTGAAACCTCGTTCTCATGTGAAACCTGGTTCTCAGGTGAAAGTGGTCGCAGTCAACGGCTCGACTAAAAATAAAAGACAAGGTTTTTTTTAAAAACGTAATATCAAATCTCTTTTTCCATTGAATATGCCAAAAAGAAAATCCAGTTCTGATTTCCACGTGGCAATCATCTCGACGGCAAAAGAACACTCATTTTTTTATAACCGCTTTTTGTGCTTAGTTTGTTTAGTTTGTTACCCTTGCCCCGCATCTCTGATTAGTAAGTACGGTGCGAAAGAAGTTCAACATACGGTGCACATACTGTACATAAACGTACAAGGACACAATGGGAAAGTACAGCGCCCCAAGTGTGGACGATAAACCACTGGCATGAATCTCAGAAGTTGATCTACGATACCACCCTCCGTGGGCTGTTCTCTAACCCACGGTGGAGAAGGGGAGAGAATTCCGAATGAAATAATGTTTCGTCCCATGACACCGGCGGTCAAAATTGGAATGAAATTGGTTGGGGGTGGGGGGGGGGGTGAAATAAAACGCTAAAATGTGTGGGCTAAAGAGCTGCATTATAAAACGTCTCTTTGGCATTCATTCGTTCGTCGGAGCACGGCGAGAACGCGCTTGTAGTGAGCGCATGTGGTCCGGCACGCGGCACTTAAAGTCACGATCGAGCCAGCGTCGTTGACACAGCGCACGGCGCGTGGCGGTGGCGGCTCCCGTTGGCGTGTCCACTCGCTCCGACTTCTCTCCGGCGGCGTCTCGCGGTGAACGCCACCGCGCACGTGTCCGTCTGGGGATTGCGGCTTCGAGGGCGAATGATGGACGCACGCGTGAGTGCACTGCGGCCACTCACGGCAAGTCAGGAAGGCACGACTCTAAAACTAAATTTTTATTTTTATTTTACCGGGTAAGGCCCACTGAGCTGTATAGCTCTCTTTCCGAAGCGACTTGGCAATCACAAACGATAGCTCAACGAAGTGACTTAACACGTGTAACTTTATAGCAGCCAATTACTCTAAACGCATGTTTCAGAATCAGAATTTGTATTTATTTATACTGGATAATTCTATGAGCTATGGAGCTCTGTTTAACATTATGTCCAGTAGGGACTGGTCAGAGAGTTACAATAACATATGTGGGTGGGGAAGCCGGAGGACCTACAGAAAAATGCACACATCCACGGGGAGAACACGCAAACTCCAAATATACAGGCGTCAAGGTTGGGATCGAACCTACGACCGACCTCCTGTATACCAGGCAAGGTAGTTAACATCTCGCCACCGCAACGCTCCACATGAGTTAGCGGTGTTCCAGAATCCCATGATCCTTGTTGTCTTTGTATAAGTTAATTTGAAACGTGGCTTCCCCATCAAAGTATGGCACGTAAAATAACAAAACACTCTTTCATGATTACATTCACTCTCGCCCCCATCATCGTCATTCTTTTTTTTAAAGCAAAAAATAAACCATCACCACTTCACCGTTTCCATCCACAACATCTTTGCAATACTTCCTGTCGCAATTTATAGAAAAAAAATGTTTCGTCCGAACAGTTGTAAGAAGCGGAAGCATCCATTCGACCGTGGCAACAGTCCACTTTGGTCACAAGACTCGAACAGTCCCGGACCGCTTGTTCATCTTCCTTGCCCTCTTCCCCACGTGCCACGTGAACTCCACTGGGGGAGGGGGGGGGGTGCAGCCCCCTGAGTCCGTAGGTCATTGCCGATCGCAGCCGTTGATATATAAAGGGCCTTGACGAGTAAGGCTCACTATGATCCCGGTCTGGCCCCCAGAATGTATCATCATCAGCATCATCACCGTCACTGTCGTGATCATAATCATGAAAAAAAACAACGCATTACTCAGCATCAGCATTGTAGTGAGCAGTGGAGAAGGACACGAGTTAGTCCAACGTGGAACTTCCGCAGAAAAGTTCCCAATGCTGTGATGTCTTCCCGCAACCGGTGTCCAACCCAGGGTCGCCTCACAGCAAACCACGACCTCCCTCCCACCCCGGCCATCCCATCCCCTCTCTTCATCTCTCGCGTGCTGAGCGCACCTCCTGTCCCACTCACAACCCCATCCCCAGCAGCAGCAGCATCTCCTCCTGCTCCTCCACCCCATCATCCTCCCGCTCCTCAGTCACCGCCCTCGCTGCGCTTGCTGCACCACACGACGAGGCCAGCGGCCACCGTGGTGAGGACCATGGGCACCGAGATGAAGAGCGCGAGGATCTCCTCGGGCGGGTCGCGCAGGGAGCTCGACTCCGTCACGCAGCCCGACAGCTGCTGGCGGTGGACTTCCACGAAGAAGCTGTCCACCTCTTGATTGGGCCAGAAGCAATGCTGCCACGAAGCGGCCTTCTGGGTGCAGTGCGACAGGGACTCGTAGTGGCTGCGGTGGCGGCGACGGACACACAGAGGGCCGGGGATGACGGGGGGGGGGGGGGCAGTGAGGGGGGTGGGGGCAGAGGGAGCAGGGGGCGGACGGGGTAGGGAAAGTGACCTCTGAGTTAACGCTCAAGAAACGATGCGTGGCTAGAGCCAGGGCTGCCCCGCAGGCTTCTTGGAGGCCCTGTGGGGCTGGAGGTGTACGTGGGCCGACAACTGTTGTCTAGCCCTCATCTCACAACAACGAGCGCAGTGCCAGGCGGCTAGAACGCAGCAAGTTGGCACAGCAGGCGGCACAGGTGATGCATCTGCTAAGTCATCTCAGTCAGACAACCCATGGCCTCTGGGTCTGTCCCGTGACCTGCGAGCGGACATTCGACACTTCACGTGGACTTTAAGTGCACATAGCCTGGCACGAGCGCCGTGGTGATGACACTGCCGCTTCGTGGCGAATGGCGGTTGTGGCTGTAACCCTATGTGCGTGTGCGTGAGTGCGCGGTTCAGATAATCGCCACTGGTGTCGAACGGCAAAATAATGCCCCAAGAGTCGGTTAAGGCGATGTGGGGTGGGGGGGGATCTTTGTCTTTGCTGTGAAGAGTCTGTCTCCCGGTCAGCAGGCAGACACGTCCTTCATCCCTCTGGGGCCGACACTGTACCTGCGGTAGTTGGTCCATGGCCAAACTCGATCCTGTCATGGAACTGTGGAATTTACACCACTGGTCCCGGGGCACTAAACAGGAGGTGACGAGCGTCACCCCCACGCTTGTTTGAATCGGAGGCAACTGGGGGCTTTTTTATCGGATAAGCTGCACTAAAATCTTGCGAGTAAATTGTTTTTAGTTTCGCTCATGTTCCTGTTCCGCGAGAAGTCGCCCGCCTGGCGGGGTTTGCCTTCCTGTTTGTAACGTGCCTTGCACAATCGCGCAACCGTTCCACGGTTTTTTGGCGTTTGAAAAGCGTCGTGCTTTGAGGGAATGTTCATGTCCTGTGCTACTGCGCTGGCTTGGCCATCAAGTGAGCGTCGTCGTCTCTTCGTCGGCCGCGTGACTCGCTGCGGGGAGCTGCCTGGCCTCGTCGCTGCACACAGAGCTCCAGGTCTTGTAGACCCCCGTGATCGTCAATTTTGTTTTTTGGCAACTGTGTAACCCCCTCGTTGAATGTTCTTTCAACCGAAACCCCCCCCCCCCCCACTCCCCCCACCCCATTGCCTAACCCAACATGGTTTCGGATAAATAGATGTTGTAAATAATGAACGTCAACATTTTAACCAAATGTCCATTGTGTGAAGTATCCTAACTGGCTAGCAACTGGTGTGTGCGCGTGCGTGCCACGGGCTCCCCACCTGTATATCAGAGACCAGTTGCAGCGCTCGAAGCTACTCAAGTTGCGCAGCTCGAACTCGAACTGGGGGAGGCAGAACTCGTCCATGGCGATCATCAAACCCGTGGTGTTGCATGCGGCACCCAGCGCCAGCGGCAACACTGCGGCACACGGGAGACGCGGGGCACGTGGGACAATGAAGACAAAAAATATTCCACCCCTTGGAGCCTTTAACAGAGCGTTCGGGGGACCGGGTGCTGTGAGCGAGCACCGTAACCTATGAAGTTCCGTTCAAGTATTTGCCGCTGTTATTGCAGGTCGCGAGCGGGAATCAAACTCGGGTGGCTGGGTTCGTAGTGCAGTGCGCTAACCCGCTACAAAGGCAACGACGCTCCTCACACCCACCTCAACGCACCGCTACCGCTCCCCACATGCATGTTTATATACACGCACACACACACAAAAACCTGTGCACGCATGCGCATATATCCATACAAAGACAAATACCCTTCGTATAGCCTTTAACAGACTGTAGGGGCAAGTGCTGTTAGCGAGCACCTATAGAGGCTTGAACGGTACACGAGGGGGTGCTTGGGCAGCACAACGCTCGACCACCTTTGTCTCCCCAGTGGCAATGCTTACACACCACACCAGGTACTCATTTGAGGCTTAGTCGACCTATGGGAGGCCCAGAAGCGGTTCAGATAATCGTCACCGGTGTTGGTGTGCGTGAGCGGGAATCGAACCTAGGTCGCTGGGTTTGTAGCGCAGCGAGTTAACCGCTCCGCTACCGCTCCCCAACCACACGGGACACAGATATATGGGTCGCAGACGTTGGGCACACGACACGGGACGCGTGGTTGAAGGCAGTGGTCGTCTAGAGATGGGGGGGAGGGGGGGGTGTTCATTTGTAATTGTACTGTGCTCAGTCTATGTGTATGTATATGTTGAACTTCTTTCGCATCGTACGTAGCCAACCGTGCTAATCGAAGGTGTGGGGGAAGCACAACAAACGAAACACAGTTTTATATTTTTATTGTTTCCCTTCTATGTGACTTTACCGAAAGAACCAAGAATATATAGTTCTAACGAAATGAGTTTTCAATCCAGTCTAAAATTTATAATAAATAATAGTCTGCCCGAGCCGAATTGTGCCAGAGGGATTTGATGAACGTTGATTCACATTTTGGAATATTTCTGATTTCTTATATTGCACAGTTGTTTTTGTACTTATTTATATTTGCTTCATTGCTGTAATTTTATTTTTATTTGGTGTCATTTTGGTGACTCCCATCGTGGTATCTCCAGTTCTCACCCAGTAACACAAAAATCAACGTGAACCTGAGAGCTGACAGGCCATGGAACATGGATGGCAGCTAGTAACACGGGTAATATTTCACATATACTATCACCATCATCAGTGAACCATGGTCCACCCTAAACCGCATCCGCACAAACCATGGCAGATGCGGATACCTGATGCAGAAATGGAAAACTGAAAACCTTCCAGTGTGCGACTGTGGCCATCCAGAACATTCCGTACAGCGTATAACTCTGCAATGCCCCGATCCACAAATATACGAAGGAGACATCACAGCGACACACTCCGCTGCTCCTGACGCGTTCATCTGGCTCGACCACCTGAACGTGAAACTGTGGTCGTTTCTCTACAACTACATCAGCAGCCGTGCGAAAGAATAATAAGTTAAACCAATCTTGATTTGAAGCTTTCGTGACTGCAGGAATCCATACTCTTTGGTTCTTTCGGTAAAGTCACGTAGGTAGATTATTTTTTGTTTTATTTTATTTTTCTACCTACGTGACTCTACCGAAAGAACCAAAGAGTAAGTGAAACCAAGTTTGTCACCTGCCGTGGTGTTTGGCGATAATGCTGATGGAATGCTGGTAGAACACACCGCCACGTTGAATGATGTCCTATTGCCACGCGTTGTATTCTATCCGCAAATCGTGACTTAGGAGAGTGATTGGTTGACGATTCAGTTTTTTTTTTTGTTAAGGCGACACTGCAATGGTGAATGGAAATCTTTGCATTATCTCGGAGCCCTTTGCTGCACGGTAGTTGCGTGCAGCAGATTGCACAGCCAAGCGCCTTGTCCTGCTGCTTGAGTCGTTATGCTGAGAGCAGTCCTCTGGATTTCGTCAACGTCACTAAAGCCTCCTGTAGTATACTTGGAGTTTGCGAGTTCTCTCTCTCTCTCCCTGTGGTCGCGTGGATTTTTCTCTCGGGTCCTCCGGAGTTTTTTCCCCCTCCACATTCAGAAACAACGTCACGCGTTCAGAGCATTTGGGCTGCAATACGTAACCAGGCGACAAGCCTCTTCGTTGAGGATGTCATTTGTGGATAGCCAGGTCGCTTCTGAGAAAAGAGCGAAATTTTCTAAGTGGGCCTTACACCTGGTGAAATAAAAAATAAATAAACTAGCTTAGTTTAAAGGGGTTGCAAGTGGTAACTGTGGTGACGCAGCGTGGTTTGCGTGGGCCCTGGGTGCTTGGGCTGTCCAATGTCCCTCGCTCTTCAGAGCCCAGGGCCTGCCCCCCCCCCCCCGCCCCGGGCACCCCCCCGCCCCTTCCGTGCCCCTCCCTCCCGGGCCCCTGCCCCAGCCCGAGGGTCCCAGTCCAATGTCACCGGCTGCCCACTGAGTCGCAGCGTGCTCCCCGTATACGCGTAGAGGTCCATTTACGATATCAGATATATATTTTTTATTTTACCAGGTAAGGCCCACTGAGCTACATAGCTCTTTTGATCAGAAGCGACCTGGTCACAAATGATCGCTCAACGAAGTGGCTTATCACGTGGAAATGTATTGCAGCCCAATACTCCGAGCGCATGTTTCTAAGCGTGGAGGCGGGAAAACCGGACGAAAAAAAATCTACGCGACCATGGGCAGGACATGCAAACTCCAAATATACGGCAGGTGTCAGGATCGGGATCGAATCCATGACCTTCGGTATACCAGGCAAGGTAGTTAACATCTCCCCATTGTGGCGCCCCATATATTAGACGCGTCCACGGAAGCTCTCAGTGGAAGCCAGCGCAACACAAACAGCAGAGACCGCAGAAAGACAGCGAGGTAGATTTGTCAACACAAATTGAAACTGAGGGCGCAACATAAACTCAAGGTAATGTTTAAATTGATGGTTCGATACAGAAAATAAAACGGTCTTCTCAAAATAAGTTACACATTCCTACTGTGTGCAAACCAAAATGCCTAGATGGATGAATGACCTTAATTTAAGCCAGCTGAGAGCCCAATTTGACTCAAAGTCTCTTATTCCAGATGAAAACAAGCGAGATATAAAGGGTGAAAATGCAATGCATACGATGCAAATGCAAGTTCAACTGGACATAGCAGAGGCAATTCTAAATGAGGTACAATTTCAAATGAGACAAAAGGCGAGGACAAATGTTAACAAATGTAATCTAAGAAACCCATGCTAGGTCGTGTCCTGGATGTGACAGTATCCTTGCCTGCTGTGATCGTGTCACAGAGAATACAATGTCGAGCACGGCATCCGCAGTCATCGGCGATGTTTTAGGCGATCGCCCTTCTACAAAGCACAAGGGCCCGCTAAGTGGCTGTGATTGCACCATGGTGACCGTGCCAGAAAATGTGCAATTTGAGGCCACGTAAAGTGTGGGAGGCTCTCTGGCAGGCCAGGGCCAGACCCAGGTGTTACGGGTTAACTGAGATGACTGGCAGATGCACCACCTGTGCTCCCCGCCGTGGCAACTGGCTGTGTTTGAGCCACCCGGCGCTCGGCTCGTTGCTTTGAGTGTCGCTCCTCTACTCCCTGTTGCTGTTAGTGGGCAACCACCTCTCCGGCTTCTGTCCCTCTGGTCTATCTGCTGTGAAGAAAGGCCAATGCCTAAAACATCACACGTCATAGTATTTCTTCTTAAGACAGTGTCATTGACGAAAGGTGTTCATTTTTTTCGTGCAGTTATTTGTTGATGTGCGCCACTGACAATGCAGCAGCAGTAGCAGCAACGGATACTTTGCTGAGGACAGGCAAAGGAACAGCTTCTCCCTGCTGATCTCGCCAAGGATCATCAACCATCATCACGCGAACTGCGGTCATCCTCGCAGCAGCAGCAGCAGCGGCCTTTGACTGCTGCTCATCGGTCAAAGACGGTAGTCACCGCATCGCGCGCTTGCGGATGCGCTTCTGCAGCCGTCTGAAACGCTCTTCCTTCCGATTTTAGGAAGCCACTGGAGCCGTGCACTTTGAAATAAATCAATCTAGCATCGACATCTCATTTTTTTTGGAACTGATTTTTGTGTTTAGTTTTGTTGTCCTTCCCCCGCGCATCCAATTAACGTGGTTGGCTATGTACAGCGCAACAAAGTTCAACACACACACGCATGTATACATACATCTCCACCGTCCGTCCCTATAGGAACGGCTCCAGAAACGCTTGTGCGGAGTGCGGTGTGCTGGGGAGGAGACGGTGATGAGATGGAGGGACCTGGAGCTATGGACCGGCCCTCGTGGCAGAGAACGTGAGAGAAAGAGGTCAGATTGTGGGCGATAATCAACAAATGGCTCGGTCAAGAGTGGTGCTATATAACACAATTAATGAGATTGGGATTTATATAGCGTCTGAATGAAACTCCATCTCAAGGCACCGTTCATTGGATAAAATAGAGGCGAATTGTTAAATTGGGGACCACCAATATGGGAGGCATTTTATATAGAAATAAAAAAAGATTTTACAAAAAAATATATTTTATATATACAGGGTATCGATAAAGGTGTCACCCACCAATAGGGACCCACATTAATACAGCAGTATGAGCAGGGTCAATTAAGACAAAGAACCCCCGTAGAGCCTTAACAGAATGTTGGAGCAAGTGCCGTCGTGCGAGTCTCTTGTCTCTCATCACCCACATGTCCTGCGTGTAGTCCTCGGGCCCAGAACCAGATAATTCACTCGTCGCTACCACTGGAGGTGGCAGAACTCTCGCGGTTCCAGTTTCTTTACGAGGCCAATAACAGTGAATTGTGTGACGACTCACTGAAGCTAGTGGGATTATCAGATAATTCACACTCTTGTTGACCGTATAAATAAATCGGTTCAAGGCTTTCGTGAGCAACATTATCCAACATAAAGGGTTAGTTTGGGTTAGATCGCATGAATACAAATGTGTCGTTAAATCCACCACCACCCGACACAGCCCATTAGTAAGGTACGTCACGGAAACAAAAGTTACTACTTCGGCACACCGGTGTGTTGGAGAGTAAACCCACAACATTTAACAAATAAACGCGTTCGATTAAATGTCTTTGCAACCTGTAACGTCGGCTACCGATTATTCTTGCTCTGGCCCGCGGATCCGAGAGATTCGAGAAATTCCCCCGGCGTTCGCCGGCATCGAGAGAGGAGTTGATTGTCGCGAACGCGTCTCTTAGCGTAGTCCACTTGAAGCTCTTCTCGAGCTTTTCCGTGGTAGTTAAAAAAAAGACTCGAGCATACAGTATAAGGTTTCTGTTGTGAGTCATTTCAACCACAGGGGCTTAAACCGCCGTCTAATTATAACCGCTCAACAATGGAAGGGGACTCCCATGGGCGCCCGCTATTTTCAGGGAGTGTGAGAACAAAGGCACCGAATGAGGGCAGCTCTCGGGTGCACGGAGCAGCGTCTACGCGCCACGGCTCCTCTCAAGACGCGGGACGGGGGCGGTGGGCCACGTGCACCACGGGGTAAGGATGCGATACCGTTGGCCACGTGCACCACAGGGCAAGGATGCGATACCGTTGGCCACGTGGACCACGGGGTAAGGATGCGATACCGTTGGCCACGTGCACCACAGGGCAAGGATGCGATACCGTTGGCCACGTGTACCACAGGGCAAGGATGCGATACCGTTGGCCACGTGCACCACAGGGCAAGGATGCGATACCGTTGGCCACGTGGAGCACGGGGAAAGGATGCGATACCCTTGGCCACGTGGACCACGGGGTAAGGATGCGATACCGTTGGCCACGTGCACCACAGAACAAGGATGCGATACCGTTGGCCACGTACACCACGGGGAAAGGATGCGATACCGTTATTTTCTCTCTCTCTCCACACAGTTATAAAAATGCGTTTCGGGTATTTGGCTGCTGTAGATTTCCACACGATACGCCACTTCGTCGGGCTGCCATTTGTGGCAGCCAAGTCGCGTCTGAAGAAGAGCAACGCAGCTCAGTGGGCCTTACCCGGTGAAATAAAATAGAACGTCTTGGGTTGTTTTCGAGTCGTGTGCGAAGGAAAAGAGGAAGTTCTTCAGCCCGGACTTGAACGCGAGTTACAGGGAGTGGACAGCGTGGGGGGCTGGCGGAGATGGATTTCATTTCCAGAGCATGGGGGTAAAAGTTCCAGGTGGTTATAATTTTATAAATGTTTTATACCATTCAGAACTTCTCTCCCACGGCACCAACTCTAGAGGGCTTTTGCGACTGATAAAGTTGAAAGACGGAACTACGAGGATAGAGTCTGTGGCCGCGCAGGGGCGTTTACAAAACAGGGGGCAAAAGGCGACGTTGGCAAGATAGGCCGCAGTTGGTGATGCATTCACAGCGTCGATAAATATTCCCTCTGTCATGTGGGGTGTTGTCCCTTTCTCCAATCGTGTCCCGATTGTGCTTTGCCAGCTCGTTACTTGAAGAAGCCATCGGGAATTCTCTCTCCGAGCAGCGCAGAGCCTTCGTGTCAGAGAAGAGTTCAGCTGATATCGTGACGTTACCTCTGAGATCCCTTCAAGTGACCTCTGGTTGATACAGCAAGGCGGCGGTGGTGGTGGGGGGGCAGCACTCTCCCAACCGTCACACCACTGAGAGTAGTCGTCGTCGCATTACAGTCAAACCGATATGTGCAATTCTCAGAGCTCGGGTTGAGCCAATATTAGTGTAGAACCAAATTATATGTGATGGGGGGGGGGGGGGAGAGTTATTATTTATTTCACTCTTTGGTGACCGGGCTGAGACCATCAACTCACTGCACTCGAGAACCCTAGTTTGACTACAGACGGCTGCCTAAATTTGGCAGAACCCGATATCTCAGCCCTCTGACCTCTGCATCACCCAGCCATCAATTTGAATTCGTAAAGATCAATGGCCTTCGATGAGCGCTCACAAAGCGTTTGGCGGACCGCGCTATAAACCCATGGCCTGAGATGAATTCCTGATCGTGGAGTGTGCTATCTCAACCGCTTCTGGGGTCCCCCACTTGACCACGTTAGTCAGCGTGGTGAAGTATGGTCAGACAACTCCTGTGGACACCAACAGCTTGGAGAAGCCTCAATGCAGCAGTGGATCGACAAACGATTGAAAATGTCCGATCTATATTTCTGGACTATGTTATTCTTAGCCTTCATATTTTCTATGTCATTGTTTTATTACCTTTTAATGCGCGCCTTCTTTCCGTAACTTCCCTACGCTTTGTACTTGATTCACACAAAAAAAAACAACATCGCCACATTCATCTTGATCACTGCCTTTACAGCAGAAATATTTACACACGGTTAGTCGACGTCTCAGGCCCTTCGTCAGCAGAAAGAGGCACATACGGCAGAGGGGGTGACGCATAGCTAGAGATCACAGTTTACAGGGTGCGCACAAGCTGGTTACATTTAATAAAGTTGAAAAAAAACTAACACTTTTGAATCGACTTCAAAAACGGCATCGTGGCAGTTTATTTTTATATATATATAAGTGTGCGCTTGTGCACCCACTGCGGTGGCAGTCACTCAACGGAGTGACACTCGGATGAATCGGGGGGGGGGGGGGGGGGGTCAGAGCGCCGACGCGAGCAACCACTCAGAAACCTCAGTCCGAATCCAGGTACTCTCAGCCGCCCGCTATTCAACCTCGCGCGGTAGCGAGCTGATGGCGCCGGACTGGTCAGCGAACGTCCGCTCAAAGAAAGAGGAATCACATGCAGCGTTGGGCTCGGAACTTCTCGCGCCTAAGTTCCGGGCTCTGAGAAGCACGCACGCACGCACACAGGTCGCTTTGACGAACCGTCTCGCGACAAAGAGTACATGGTGGGAGTGGTTGTGCCTCGTCGCTGTGCAAAGGGTTCAACTTTGTACGTTGAACTTCTTTCGCACCGTGCGTAGCCAACCGTGCTAATGGGAATGCTGTGCTGCTACTTGAAGGGTGCTTTTGGATAAAAAAAAAAAGATCCCGCGAAGAACTCCGTTCCACAACCGCCTTTCTCACTGAGCGGTACTCCATCTGCTCTGTGACATTTCCGAGTGGAATCCACTTCTCATCACGCGTTCCCGACGGCACGTTCGCGATGAAAATAAAAACAAAACAAGACCAATATTGTACAAGTGGTTGTTGTTGTTGTTTGTACCCCTCCGTGTGTACGGCACATTGCAGCCTTTAACAGCCCAAAGCGTCCAGTGAGTAAAAAACAGCGCCAGCGCCAATGGGTTCGGGAGCTGGTTATAAAGAATGGGACTTGATTAATCGACCACGCGAATGACGGAATTTCACTGAGAAGACATTGAATCGAGGTGCACGTGATGGATATTCACGGCAGGATTTCGCACTCTGAAGTTCCCAGCAGAGTCTCTGCGCTGCATTAGCGAGGCCATCATAATCCCTGTTGTTTAGTTTCTGTGTTGAGACATCGCTGGGAGTGAATGGCAACTCGCCTTATCTCTAGGCAGGCGAGTGTAGCTAGGTAGGCAGGTAAATGGATCTACAGGTAGGTTAGTGGATACGCACATAGGTAGGTTAGTGGGTATGCAGGTAGGTAAGTGTATACGCAGATTGGTAGGTGAGTGTATATAGGTAGGTTAGTAGATACGTAGGTATACATAGGTAAGTGGATATGCAGGTAGGTTAGTGGATACGCAGTAAGGGAGGTTCGTAAATAGTGAGGGAGATAGCCAGGCATATAGGCAGGTAGTGGTGCAATGCAGCATGGGGGAAACACACGCTTGGAATGACTCCGGAGGGACAGACAGGTGAGCACGTGGATTTGAGGACACACGCAACAGATAAGTAAGGCGGGACTTGCGCAGGACACTCCGCGAGAAGGGATGATCGCCGAGGTCGGATAGGTAGGTAAGTGGGTAACGCAGGTAAGTAGGTAAATAGGCAGATATCCAGGCAGGTAGATATATTTGTAGGTAGGTATATATGTACTAGGATAATAGGTAGGCGGATAGGTAGGTACATAGGCAATTCGGTAGGTCGGTAATAAAGGAATAAGAACTCACCTAGTAATCCCAGGACGCGAAGAACGTGTGGACCCATATTGCCCAGCAGAAGCCGCGATGGGCAGAGCAGACTTCTCACCACTCCCGATAACGATCTCCCTCCGTCTCGCTCTCTTGCACTCCACGTGCGTCCTCTGCTGCTCTCTCCACGTCGTAGAGCAACAGCAGCAGGAGCAAGCGAGCGAGAGCCGGAGACTGTGAGAGTGTCAGCCCGCGGACTCCTCCTCTCTCGCTCAGCGTGGCTCGCACCGGCCAGAAGTGGAACCAAACACAGCACTCGCGACGCCACTTTCAGCTGAATCAAAAGTGTGACTTGCGTGTGTCTGTGTGTCAACGTGTATGCGTGTGTGTGTGTGTCTCTCTCTCTATTGTGAAGTGCTAAGTCTTGGATTGAGGCAGCTCACAGAGAGGCTCCCAGCGAGACACTGGAGTGGAGAGAGAGCCTCCCGGGTCGTGTGAATGCGCCTCGAGTAGAGAGTCATGTTTCCTTCGGGGAGGGAGGGAGGGGAAGGGGCGGTGTGGAGAGCGGAGGGGAGGGAGGAGGATGTGGTGGTGGTGGTGGTGGCACGAGGGGGTTGGGTGAGTGTCGGTGGGTGGAAGGGAGTGGATGCTATGGGTAGCGAGTGGGTGGTAATATGGGGGAGTGGGTGGTAATATGGGGAGGGAGTGGTTGCTGTGAGGAGGGAGTGGGTGCTGTGAGGAGGGAGTGGGTAATATGGGGAGGGAGTGGGTAATATGGGGAGGGAGTGGGTGATATGAGGAAGTGGGTGCTATGGGAAGGGAGCTATGGGGAGGGAGTGGGTGATATGGGGAAGGAATGGGTACTTTGAGGGAGTGGATGCTATGCGGAGGGAGTGGGTTCTATGCGGAGCGCGTGAGTGCTATGGGGAGAAGAGAGGCGAGTATTGTTCGGAAAATATAAAAAAGAGACGGGGAAGTTGAAACATTGAGTTGTGGTGCGTGTGTGTGAGGAGTGCGTGTGACAGTGTGTGTGCATGCGTGTGATGGTGCGTGTGTGGGTGCACGAGATAAAATACTGTATGCCTATATTGGGAAGCTCTTTGTGTGTGTGTGTGTACTTGTGTGAGCGTGTGTGTGCGTGTTTGTCTGGGGAGCGGTGGTGTAGCGGTTAGCGCGCTGCGCTATGAACCCGGCGACCCGGGTTCGGATTCCCGCTCACGGCCAACACCAGTGACGATTATCTGAACCGGTACTAGGCCTCCCCTAGATCGACTCAGCCTCAAATGAGTACCTGGTGCGGTGTGTAAAAAAAACATCTCCACTAGGGAGACAAAGGCGGCCGAGCGTGGTGATGGCCACCCACCCCTCGTGTGACGTTCTGGCCTTCACAGGTGTTCGCTAACATCACTTGCCCCAACAGTCTGTTAAGGCTATATGGGGGATCTGTGTCTTTGTATAAACATGCATGTGGGGAGTGGTAGCGGTGCGTTGAGGTGCGTGTGAGCGGGTTAGCGCACTGCGCTGCGAACCCAGCCACCTGAGTTTGATTCCCGCTCGCGACCTGCAGCGAAACTGTGAACGGAACTTCATAGGTTACGGTGCTCGCTCACAGCACTCGCCCCCCCAAACGGTCTGTCGAGGCTCCATGTTTGTCGCTGAGGCTGAGTGAGGCGGCGTGTGGTGCCGCTCTGTGCTACAATCAACCACGGGCTCCGCGAATGAGCGGGATTATGAGGGCATTCATGCAGCCACAGGGACCCACGCGCCATCATAGAGCGCACAGGGACGTTTAACGTGGCTCTGTGGTTCGCCTTCGCTGCGCTATGAACGCAACTCGTTAAGCCCGGCTACCATCAGTGGCGATTGGCAAACTTTAACCAGCCCCCCTCCGCCTTCCCCTTCCTTCACCAACCAGAGCTGGTGAAGTATGGTCGAACAAACCCCGAAGCCGACACGGCGCGTGGAGGAGGCCTTTCATGCGGCAGTGGATTGTGACGGGGACCGAATCGGCGAAATTCGAACGAGTCCGTTGTCAAATCCACTTCTGGATAGAGGCTTCTTCCCCAAGCCGTGGTGGGTGGGTTGTGGGGAGAGGCGGTTAATCCATACTTCACCACGCTGGTCAATGCACGGTTGGTGTAGTGAAGAGGATGGGTGACGCTGAGGAAAACCCGTGTTAGATGAGTTACAGAAAAAATGTTCCCGTGGGAGGTCTGTGTTGTTGTAATCTCGTACTGTAATGTCGGGAAAGTTTAGCAAAAATGTGAGTTTACATCGCGTGTGTTTAGATTTTCACATCAGCTTCACCGCGCCGTGTTCATATTTGACCACGCAGAACGCCGTGGATGTAATATGAGCATCGTATAATCACAACCATCGATTGATGCTGTATAAGAACGAATCCAAAAATGTCTCCGTCATCAATAAAGTTGTACAAATCCGGTCTCACTCACAATAAACACAAACATCCCCCGTATAGCCTTAACAGACTGCTGGGGCAAGTGCTGTTAGCGAGCACCTATGAAGGCCCGCACGGCACACGAGGGGGTGGGTGGTCAGAACCGCCTTTGTCTCCCCAGTGGCAATGTTTACACACCGCACCAGGTACTCATTTGAGGCTGAGTCGACCTAGGGGAGGCCCTGAACCGGTTCAGATAATCGTCACTGATGTTGGCCGTGAGCGGGAATCGAACTCGGGTAGCCGGCTTTGCACCGCAGCAGCGCGCTAACCCCACTCACAAATGTTGCTTTAGAATAGACGGGGGTGGGGGGGGGGGTGAAATCGCGTCTTATTAAACGCGATTTCAGTAATTTTGTTTATTAAATTACTCGACCATGTCTTGAATTAACCTCACAGCCCAAACCCTACACACGACACGGGCCAATTTCCAGGCGTTGTCCCATCAAGCAAGCGATGAGAACCAGCCGAGACCCGCGTGAGCTAAGGCGCCTGATGGCATCATTGTGCATCACCCCCTCCTCCCCACCATCGCCCATCCATTCGCCACCTAAACACACTGCGAACAATGCCTTAGATAGCGCGCCTGGTTAACGCAACTCACTGTGATTGTATTCCCTCTTCTGAGCGTTTGTTTGTAATAACTCGCGCCAACTCTTTGTGGTTCCCGAGACGAGTTGAGACGTTGCTATTTGTCACTGTGTGTGTGTGTGGGTTTAGCGCGCTACGCTACGAACCCGCACCCCCCATTCCAGATCGCGGCCAACACCAGTGACGATTAACTGCACCGGTGCGAGGCCTCCTCTAGATCGACTCAGCCTCAAATAATAATTTTTATTTGGCGTTTTTCATCAAGGATCTCAAAGCGCTGTTCAGGACACAGCAGCAGACACTCAGCATAAAAACATCATTATAAATACATTTTTAAAATACTATAACAACTAAAAATGTAATAAGCGGAAGCGTATAAATAGGTTTAACAGAATCAGAGATACTGATACCTCAGTGCGGTGTGTAAACATCGCAACTGGGGAGACAAAGGCGGCCGGGCGCGGTGCTGACCACCCACCACTTTGTGTGCCGTGTTGGCCTTCATTGGTGCTACTCGCTAACAGCACTTGCCCAAACCGTCTGTTAAGGCTATACGACGAGGGGGGGGGGGGGGGGCTGGTGGGTTGGAGTGAGTGGGTTCGTTGTGGCTAACGCACGTGTAAAGAATTAAATCTGAAGTTGACTCACAAACATCATCATGACAGAATAGCGCACTTCGGAAAACAATTAGTTTCACAAGCACGTGTAAAAGAGCAAAACAAACTAATCACATTTGTCAATAACGCTGCGTCCTTTGAAGAAGGAAAAAATCATATTAGGCGACGTTTCGGGCAATGGCCCTTCTTCACAGCACACGATGACTATGTTCGGGAATGTTGTCAGTGCCGGATTATCATCGTAGCAAAAGTAGCTACATATGTAGTAGCTACGGGCCCCGCACTTTCAAGGACCCAGCGCTAAATGCATTCAAGCTATCAATTCCGGTTCAGTGATTCTGCACTTGCTCCATTACCATAGTACTATACTGCCTTCAACTTCTATGAACGACTGGGTGTTTAAGGTTACCGATTGGTCCTATTATCTGACTGTATAGCAATTACTTTACTATGCAAATAAAACATTTGCGTTTTTTTATGTGTTTTTGTATTTTATAACATATACTACAGCCCAAGCACTAGCTTAATTCGGCACTGGTTGTTGTAATCGTAACGTCTCACTTGTCAAGTAAAACGCTAAAAAGGCGAGGATTACCAAAACGTTTGGCCGGGGCTAATTTATGGGGATAATTTATGATGCCACCCGCAAATCTGCGAGGCTCGAATGTGTCCCCAGTGTCAGGGCTCTGTGCAACGACACTTTCCGTTACGTCACTCGGCAATTCAAAAGGGGCCAGGGCAAAGGTATTGGATATACAAGACCAACTTTAGGGCGTCACGGTGGCTAGGAGATGTCAACTACCTCGCCTGGTGTACAGGAGGTCGTGGGTTCGATCCCGAACCTGACGCCTGCTGTAAATTTGGAGTTTGCGTGTCTCTCTCTCTCTCTCATCATCATCACGGTGGCTAGGAGATGTTAACTACCTCGTCTGGTGTACAGGAGGTCGTGGGTTCGATCCCGAACCTGACACCTGCTGTATATTTTCAGTTTGGGTGTCTCCCTCTCTGTCATCATCACGGTGGGTATGAGATGTTAACTATCTCGTCTGGTATACAGGAGTCCGTGGGTTCGATCTCAACCCTTACGCCTGCTGTATATTTGGAGTTTGGGTGTCTCTCTCATCATTATCACTGTGGGTAGAAGATGTTAACTACCTCGCCTGGTATGGATGAGGGCGTGGGTTCGATCCCGACACTGACGCCTGCTGCTGTATATTTGGAGTTGCGTGTCTCTCTGTCCGTGGTCGCGTGGATTTTTCTCGGGGTCCTCCGATGTTTCCCCTCCATATTTAGAAACATGCGCTTAGAGTATTTAGCTGCTATCATTTCCACGTGATAAGCCACTTCGTTGAGGTTGCATTTGTGGCTAGCTCGCTTCTGAAAAAGAGCTACATAGCTCAGTGGGCCTTACCTAATAAAATAAAAATCGTTAACACGCAGTTTAACTCGATATCAGCTGTAAGTAAATAACGGTTGAAATCCCTCTGGAGTCGACATAGTGCATACCACTTTTTGGTTTAGTTTGTTGTCCTTCTCCCGGACCTCCGATAAGCACGGATGGCTACGCACGGTGCGAAATAAGTTCAACATACATAATACACACCATTGGTCGTCTTATGGAAATAATCGCCCCCCGGCATAGGAATGTGGAATTTCCTTTCCTGGCGCAGGGCTACAAACGAAAGATGTGCACTACCCCAATGCTCGTTTGAGCAAGGAAATCACTTTGGACGTTTTGACTGCGGTAGAGTGGAGCTCTCTGGAGTGGAAGCACTTCAACCAGCAGTAGCGTCAGCAGGCAATTGCAGGGCTGCGCCTGTACCTGCGGTGTACCTACATGCACGGCCCTTGTGTATCGATCCACTGCCGGATTAGCGCCACGCTACGGGGCTAGTCGACAATAATTGTGTCGCTCTGTGGCGTAACGCTGGGAGGAGGGGG